ATGCCAGGCCCGCTGTAGCCCCGGGGCAGGGACTGGAATTCTGACTCTCCCGGCTGCTGTTCCGGGCTCCCCTGCACCCTCTGCCTTAATTACCTTGAGCCTGTGACGCAGCCCGCGGGGGAGAAACACCCCCCCTTTCTGCTGCACAGACAACAGTGCAGACACAGTCGGCCCGCAGCCAACAGAGTGACCCATCCACCCACACCAGAGCCAAGATTTCATCCTCAGAGAGCTGCTGATTTTACGCTTTGTACTGTTTAAAGACATTCTAACATAGCGTTGGATTTAGAAAACTGGTCCCCTTAAACTTGCGCATATATTTGGAAATGTGTTTATTTTTTATGAATTATACATAAGAATTCATCGCAAAAATATTTAAATCATCCAAACATTATTACGTTTACCAAATATGCAGATTTAAAATAGAATGGCACATTTTTTACTTACCAAAAATGCTATGCTATTACTATAATTTAATAATAATAATAATAATAATTATTAATAATAATAATTTATGCATTTAGCAGACACTTTTATCCAAAGCGACTTACAGTGCATTCAGGCTATACATTTTTTACCAGTATGTGTACATTGTACTACATTGTTTTATTTTTTATGCATAAGCAATTCATCATAAAAATACTCAAATTATCAAAAAAATATATTTGATTTTGTCAGATTTAAAGTGGACTAATTCCAAAATTCCGGGTTTAGATTTTTGGACTTCGTACTATGGTTATGCCATGTTTTTTTCTGAAGTTTACATAAGTAGTTCATCATTAAAATACTCAAATCATCCAAATCCAAAAATATATTTGATTTTGTGAAATGTGCAGGTTTAAATGGACAAATACAAACAAAAAGCTTGGTATTAAGTATATATATATATATATATATACAGTGGGGCAAAAAAGTATTTAGTCGGCCACCAATTGTGCAAGTTCTCCCACTTAAAAAGATGAGAGAGGCCTGTAATTTTCATCATAGGTATACCTCAACTATGAGAGACAAAATGAGAAAAAAAATCCAGAAAATCACATTGTAGGATTTTTAAAGAATTTATTTGCAAATTATGGTGGAAAATAAGTATTTGGTCAATAACAAAATTTCATCTCAATACTTTGTTATAATATACCCTTTGTTGTGGTTTTTGTATATTTTTGTGAAAAATATGTTTGCGCAATTCATGACTGAAAAATTCTAATTATCAAAATATATTTGATTCAGTTTTGGAAGGGTCAGGGAATATTTCACTTTTGAAAAAAATACAGTGGTATTACCATGTTTTAGAAAATGTTTGCATTTATACACAAGCAATTTGTCATATATTTTCAGTGCATTCCAAATATATACAGGTGCATCTCAATAAATTAGAATGTCGTGGAAAAGTTCATTTATTTCAGTAATTCAACTCAAATTGTGAAACTCGTGTATTAAATAAATTCAATGCACACAGACTGAAGTAGTTTAAGTCTTTGGTTCTTTTAATTGTGATGATTTTGGCTCACATTTAACAAAAACCCACCAATTCACCATCTCAACAAATTAGAATATGGTGACATGCCAATCAGCTAATCAACTCAAAACACCTGCAAAGGTTTCCTGAGCCTTCAAAATGGCCTCTCAGTTTGGTTCACTAGGCTACACAAGCATGGGGAAGACTGCTGATCTGACAGTTGTCCACAAGACAATCATTGACACCCTTCACAAGGAGCCACAAACATAGTGTATTCTAGAATATTAGGCACATGTTTAGGTTTAATGCCATTTCTTCATTAAATCATGTTTGTTTGTTTTGTTTGTTTGTTTGTTTTAAGATAAAGATGGTAATAGCATGATATATTGTATGAATATAGTAAGCATTCAGTACCATAGTGTACATTAAACTACCATGGCAATCGTTTGATAGCATTAATGTACAGTAGTACTGCAACAACTTTTTGTATGGCTTTATTGTGTTTGTCCTGATCATTTCTAAACCAAATTTCAGGTTTGTAAGAGTTAATACCAGAACCACCCTTGCGGTTTGCAGGGTAAATATTGATTGCACATTACTTAAATAAATCGCCTGGCTAGTTTTGAAAAGAGTCTCGTGTTACACACTATCAGTGGTCGAATGCTAATGTGCTTTCAAAAGACAAACCCATATTTCTGCTCGCCCTAAATGCAGTTGTCATTCCCCTCAAATGCTCCTCATTACAAACGTCCAGTCAGACCTGTCACACTCATATATAATGAACATGTATTTGTTTTCTAAGACTGACTTCTCTGTTTGTGACTTTTAATAAAGCCGTTTTTAAAGCACTTTATTAAATAATGCAGCACTGTAATATCTGAAAATAGGAATTTGTCTTAAAAAGCATTTTCTACTTTAGCTGATTCTACAATGATTTTTTTGTGAAGTTTAATGTGCTGAAATAAATTCAGTTATTTTAAATAATATTTTTCATTTTTTTTAAGTTAGTTTGACTTTAACACTGATGTTTAATAAAGCCACTTTTAAAGTGTTTTAACAGCACTTTTAAATATGAAAATATGATTTTGCCTTAAAAAGATTTACTTAATCTGATATTAAAATTACTTTTTTTGGAGGCATTTAATGTACTGAGGTAAATGAAGTTATATTAAGTAATAATTTAAGTTACTTTGACTAAAATATTTATTTAATTTTTATTGCTATAATTTTTTTACTAGTTTTTGAATCATTTGTGATTTTCTAGCCTATTATATACGTATATATTTATATAGATATATATTTTTAATATTGTGTGTGTGTGTATGTACTGTCTGAAACTACTCATTACTGATCAGTATAGAATTATTATTTTAATAGTAAATATATATATATATATATATATATTTATTTATTTATTTTTTTATTTTTTTATTTATTTTTTTTACATGTTAGCCAGACCTTCATCTTAATCTCATAGATTGTTCAAGCAAAATGTGCGTTCGTCCGACCACCCTGCCCTTAGATCAGCTTGACTTTAAAATGGTCTCTGCCCTTCAGCTGTCACATGCTCACCCCATAAATATCACCCTGAGTCAAGCGCAGACAGGGCCACAGAGGGACAGCGTGTTAGACACTCTCTCTCAGCGGGAATTTACAATGATCAGCTCTGAAAAATAGAAACAAGCAGCGACAAAGAAAGCACTCTGTCCATTATTTCAGGCAGATAAGAATCGCTGTTAATCAAACAGCCTGCAGCGCTTTCTCAAAAAGCCAGATTAATTATAAATTCATTCAATTCATATTTGAAGAGTCATGTCTGGCCGTTTCTATCTTCTATCGTTTAGATAATTGAGAGCAGAATGAGTCTGACGGCGTCGCTAAGCATGTGCTGGGTTTTACTATCTGAATTTCAATCAGATTAACAGATGCTGACCATGCAGATTTTTAAAGATGAAGAGTCCAGCAGTACTTGAATCCACGCACAAGCTTTACTGCATGATGTCTGAAGTGCTAAATCACATGCATCATGTCTGGATAACAGCTGCTGGCTTCTTTATGTCATCGTCTTGTGTCATGAGGGCTTTAACTGTTTTAGTGAAGATCTTTTTGGTAGTAGCGTATTCTGAAAATATTACCATTTTATTAGACAGGTGTAAAAAGATACATATTAAATAGAGATATTTAATAAATATTACACTCTAAAAAAATGCTGGGTTAAATACAACCCAATGAGTGCATTGTAAAATGTATTTAATATTACATAAAATGAATTAGAATATTTAAAATGTTCACCTAATTGGTTGGTTTTTATTATTTTTGATCTTGATTTATTACAAAGATATATAATATATTGATATTTAATAAATACTATTATATAAAATGTATTTATAAGAAATATTGCATGATATAAATCAAAAATCTTTTTTATTGTTTTTGATCTTGACTGTTTAATCTAATAATAATAATAATAATGATTTATGGAATTCTATACAGTGGCCGTGCATAAAATATCTGTTAAAATGCTGCAGGGTAATCTCAGTATTGACATAAAGTCTTTTAATATTTAATGATTCTTCTTAAGATCCAAAGTTCTTTTGATCCTTCACTGGTGCTTTGCTCTGGATTATCAATAGACCTTAGGTTTCCCTGTTTTGTGTGAAAAAACTAAAATAAAATTGTTGGATTGTCAGTGTTGGATTGCAAATTCTGTTATGTTAAATGCTGAATAAATTGATAAATTGGAGGAAAAAAGTGCGCTGTGACTGCACTTGTGTTCTATTTCCATGTATCTTTGTTTTTATCTAGGGGAATCAACTAGCTAGAGTATGGGTATAAATATTTAATTTTTTATGTGCTTTTAGACAATAGTAGATTTTTTCATGACCCAAAACTGAGCTCCATTATCTATAAAATACCCCAGGGCACTGAATTTGTTTTCCTGCCCTGTATGTCCATCTGAAAATGTAAGTTATAAGTGAACAAATCCATTTAAATTCAAAAGGGCTTTACTGGCATAACTGTGTTGCAACATTGCCAATGGCCATTAAAAATGTAATGAATTAATATAAAGTATTAAAATACACAAGAAAGTATGTGGTTTCATTAAAACAAGGTTCAGGACTCATTCTTTAAATTAAATCATCTCTTTTAAAAGTCCCAGTGGAGAAATGTGGCTGAATTTGGCCTTGCTGGCTACATTTACAGTACAATCTGTGAGTTTTATTTGAAAGATTAGTACATTTCGTAAGATTAGTACATTTTTTGTCAGATGTTTAGAGCTACCTGAAACTGTGAACAAATTTGAGTTCCAAATCTGGGAGGTTTGTGTGTTTATGTAGGATTTTGAACTCTGAATCTAATGGACCAGTGACTAAAAAGTGCCAAGACTAACTGTTTTAATATATTTATGAGCTGTTAAAGTAGTTTGTCCCTGGAGATGTGTAGACCAGCTGTGACAAACAAGCTGTTAGTTCTTTCATACAGAGAAAGAGCTTCTGATTAACTCTAGAAACACTAACCGCGCGTCCTCTCCTGTCTCCTACAGTTCTCAGTGAAGACCTACATTCTAGCTTGTATTTTGTCAATGCATCTCTGCAAGAGGTAGTGTTCGCCAGCACCACGGGGACTCTGGTTCCCTGTCCTGCAGCAGCGGTGCCGCCCGCTACCCTGCGCTGGTATCTGGCCACTGGCGAGGAGAGCTACAACGTCCCAGGGATCCGCCATGTCCATCCAAACGGCACTCTCCAGATCTTCCACTTTCCTCCGTCCAGCTTTAGCAAAGTGATCCACGACAACACTTACTATTGCACAGCGGAAAATCCTTCAGGGAAAATTAGAAGCCAAGATGTTCATATTAAGGCCGGTGAGTGTTTAAGGATATTTACAGATTGTTGCAAGATTGTTTTAAAGCCAAATCTTTGAATTTTTGTAAATGTATGTTTGCTTTGAATTGCATATACTGTAAAATTGCCATTTATTTGGATTACACACTTTTTTAACATAAACATATAACATAGATACTAAAACAAACTAAAACTAATAAACTTAATGTGATGCATATTTGTCAGTCATACATAAATGAAATGGGTAAGATGTCTGTAATTGTACTAATACCTGAAAATTGCTTTTTTCACAGCTAGCCATATTTTAACTATGTTCAAAATGGTTTTCACTATGAACAGATGTGCGCTGATTCTAAGTGAAGTGAATAAATGCATTTGAAAATATGGTTATTTAAATGAAATCAAATAGATGCAAATAGTTAAAAATAAACTATGCCACATTTTTGAGTGCAGAAATATTATCTGTTTCTTACCTATTTCATTTACGTACGAGTGACAAATATGCATCACATTAAGTTTACGTGTGTATGTTCCAAATAGATAGAAAATGTTCTATGCAGTTCAACTACAAACATTTTAAATACATGCCTAAATATTGTTTTTGAGTATAAATGTTGACAAAATTCATGAAATTGTTATAAATGCAGATGTACACAATTGAAATTTACAGTCTTTCCAGGAAAATTGACTAAAAATATTGATGACTCATCCTGCACTACGCATATTTTTGTCCAATCAGATTCTCTCTAAAATGAGAACGTCACTCTCCCTAATATCATTTGTAACTGACTGCAAATCATTGCTTATAAATATGAAATAAAACAATACATTTAATGAGGTTTATGCGTAAAATGTGAATGGAACAAGCATAATGCACAATATACTAAATATATTTCAGGTAACTTTATCTTGTTTTAAAAGGCCAAAAGTGTGTAATTTCTGCACCACTAGTGTCACTAAACCAAACTGCAAAACTAATGACAGGTTTCACTCGCACCATCTGTCATTGGTCAGTCAAACACTCCAAACTCACACCATTGGCTGAGCCAGTGTTGCTATGCTGGGCTAGTCGGATTCTCAAAGAAATAAAAGTGTTTTACTAGTGCCATAGAGGTTTACTTTTTCTGGTGAAAGAATACTTGTCTGCATATTAAGCTAGAAGAAAGTAGAAAACACTCCATGTTGTTTTTTTTTTTCAACCAATGACATATTAAAGGATCAGTCAACGCAAACTCTTTCTCTCTAGTCTTACGAGAGCCCTATACGGTCCGTGTGGCGGACCAGACCGCGATGAGAGGCAGCGTAGCGGTCTTCAAGTGCATTATTCCTTCCTCAGTGGAGAACTACATCACTGTTGTGTCATGGGAGAGAGACACTTTACCAATCATCTCAGGTAGGACACTGGACACTTGTATGCATATTTTGTGCTTGATCTTGTTAAGATGCAATTTTATGTTACTTTAAAGGAACAGTTCACCAATGTCATGTTGTTCCAAACTATTTGCATAAACCACCTGTATCCATATAATGAAAGTAAATGGGGACTCAAATGTCATTGACATCAATGCTGCCATTTGATTTGAGGTTGCATCCACTCAAAGTTATTGAATGGCTTCAAAAGACTTGGAATATAGTGCATGAGTCATATAATCCTTTTTATGATACTTTCATGGTGCTTTTGTGGACCTTCACAGATCCAGTCCTAATTTACTTTCATCATATTGGCCTGGGTATTTTTCAAAACCTAATGTGATCCACACAAGAAAGAAAGTCAAAGAGATTTGCGACATGAGGATGAGTAAATTACAACATTTTAAGGTCAACTATTCCTTAACTCCGTGTTATTAACACATGCCCCCGTGCAGTTTTGATCTTCCTAAGCGAATTTTAGCCAATTACAGTCCTTGCTTTTCTTGGTTTTCCATCAGTTTAACAACCCCAAGCCTGCTCTTGAAAACACATCCACATATTTAACCGTTTTGGCGCCAGGGATTTTTGGGAAAAATGCTGGATTTTGACATCAAGATTTCAAAAGCTTGTGGCTTGAAAGGGCTTAAAGATAGAGATCTACTGTAAGCTAGAAAAATGTTGGGCATGACCGAAAGATTATGTGGGGTGTAAATATACTCATCTAATTAGCATATTATGACGTCATCAGAGGCGGCCATCTTGAATTTCATAATATTCAGGAAATAGTAGCTATTGAATTGATGTTTGAACTTATTTGCATGTTTTTTTTTTTTAAATCTTTTTATCCTCATTCCAAATGGTCAGAAAAGAGGAAACCAACTATAAAACAGGAGAAAGTACTAAATTACCAACAGGCTCATCAAAGCGTTTGATCCAGTCCTGATATACTTCTTCATTTCTCAAATAAACCCAACCACCATTGTCATCTCTATTTCCAGCCCTATTTAGATCCAGATCACCCCTGCTGCCTCTACCACGTCTCCCGGCTCTCCCACGCACAGCACGGCCACGTGTACCACGGCCACTCCCACCTCTTTGGGGCAGCTAGTGCTACTTCCAGCCCTATTTCTCCTACCCCTGCTGCCTCTACCTCTAGCAACAGCTCTCCTATGGACATTACGACCACATCCACCCCTGCCACCCCCATCCCCGTTGGTCAAAGGGTCGAAATGATCACTTGTTTGTGCTTCATGAACACTCGCGCCTTGAATGGCAGCACCATTGCGCTGCAAAGATGTACCGAGAGAAGCGCGATTATTAGACGACCGATCGTCATTTCCAAAAGGCAAATATTCCCCTTCAGAGTCAGAATCGGCTAATAACATTTGCAACACATCCTCACGGTACAACTTTTTATTAGCCATTTGGCGATTTTCTCTCACAAATCTCACAATTTATTCGCACGCTATGAACTGAACTGCTTCCTCATCAATGACACGATAGCTCACTTGCTCTGCTATTTCCTCGAACACTTTGAATAGGAACATGATGTCATTTTGGTCTAGAATCGAAGTACTACATGTCTGCCATATAGTGGTAGGGAATACAAATGAGATATTACACCATATTAGGAACTACAGTCTTTTTTATTAAGTATGACGTCTTGTCGCAATTTTGAGACTTTGGCGCTTAAAGGGTTAAGTCATTTCTTGTCCTGTTGCTGACAACGTGAGATTTATTAGTCTCTAACTTGGCATGCTGTCACAGTAACGCTCTTATAAAGAGCTCCTCTCTCGGCTCACGGCTGTCTAATCCTGAAGAAGTGGACGTCTGGAAGTCGTGTCACCGAGATCCACTGTACTGACCTATTTCCCTTCCAGAGGCCGCACGGTTTTGAAAATCCATATCAGCTAAACGATACACTCGTCTACACAACTGTTTCCTTCCCTCAGGGCTGTCGGCTCATTTTATGGGGCATTTAGCAAATTCAATAAAGAATCTAAAGTCGTTTAGACTGGGGAGCGAGTGGGGACATTTTCCATAGATGTGTCGTGTTTTTCTGTTCAGGTAAAAGACACCAATGAGATATATGAATCTTTTATTCATCTTCAGAGAGTAATGTGACAAATGACTGCCTGCAGTCTAAATTACAGTCTTTAAATTCTTCAAACATCTCACATTTAATGCTCAATCTCCATTTGTGTGCACATTATATTTGTATATGAATGTCGGAGCCCAAGACAGGTCTATTTCAACCTAGAATTGAGAAAGTGTGCAATGAATCAGACTGATGTCTGTCATTTAATAGCGGCAGTCACAAAACATTAGCTTGCCGTTCATCTGCGCCTCTTTTCTATGCTAAATATTTCATAGGTAGAGCAATATTCCTGAAAACAACAGTTTAAACACAGTTCACTGCGTGTGGAACACTTTCACCTTTCCACACACGCTGTCTAGGGCATTTTGAAGGAATCTGTGTGTGTGATGTACATTTGTTAATGGCCCCTCTAAAATTTTATAAAACCTATTCTTTTGCGATATTCTATAAATAAATAAGCTTTCAATGTGATCTCACATGAGGAAAAGTGAAGCCGCTGTATACTTTTTTGTTATAAAATATTCATTTCTATCTGTATTTCTGTCTAGTGCATTTGGACTCTATCGGGTAGTGAAAGGTTATTGTTTTCAAATGTTAGAATTCCGCAAATTTGAGATTTGTACTAGTTTGGGATCAGTAAGATTTTTTATGTTTTTTAAAGAAGTCTCTTATGCTCATCAAGGCTGCATTTATTTGATCAAAAATACAGAAACAGAACTGCAACATTGTGAAAATTATTGCAATTTTAAATAATGGTTTTATATTTTAATATGCTTTAAATTATAATTTTTTTCCTGTGATGCAAAGCTGAATTTTCATCAGCCATTACTCCAGCCTTCAGTGTCACATGATCCTTCAGAAATCATTCTAATATCTGATTTATTTTCAATGTTAGAAACAGTTGTGCTGGTTAATATTTTTGGTGGAACATTTAATACTTTCTTCAGGATTCTCTGATTAATAAAAAGTTAAAAACAACAACATTTATTCAAAATCTAAATCTTTTATAACAATACAAGTCTTTACTATCACTTATTGTCAATTTCTGCCATTTTATTGTGTATAAGGTGAACATTGCAAGTCTGATCGATGATGCATTAGTCCTCCTTTAAATAGAAGATTTGAGTTATCCAAGTCCATAGTATAAAAAGTGTGAGATAAATTACACTTTGATGGTTAGAGATTGTGAAAAACGCAAATTATGGGCAATACTACCAGTAATCCTTGCCTCAGCAAGCACCACTAGCTCTGGTTTCATGGTTGAAGTACATACAGTATTATTTGGTATTACACAGGTGTTTTAGTTGCAGGGGATTCTGGGAAGATCTGGTTGCAGGCGGCTGTGTTATGCAGCGGTGAGCCACAGAACAAACCGCTACAGGCACTTTAGAGAGTCCTTAGCATTCCACACACATGCCTCGCACTGAGACCTCTGGCCAGAACAACCACTAAAGAGAGAGAGAGAGCACCAGCGAGACAGACACTCTCTGTTCTGTTTTTTCCCGTTTTTCTGGTGATACACTGCTCAAATATTCCGCAGTGAACAAATGCATTTTGGTGCAGACAGATTTGGCGAACATATAAAAATACATTCTACCTTCTTACTCAGAGAAGCTTATATGTATTGGTGTAGATTAAATGTCGTAAGACTGTCAGTCCTTCCAAGTGAGCAAATCCCACCTCAGGCCTTGTTATGCGTCAACTGAAGCTAGTGGCATGCCAGAGATTTTCCTTTCCATGTTTTCCAGTTGTGTTATTAACATTTTGCAATCCATTGAGCAGCAAGCTGACATTTCACTAAAAATCACATTTAGTGCCCAACGTGGGGTGTTGCCCGCATTTAACCCAACACTCATTTAATGGAGTGAATCTAACAAGACCCAGCAGTAACGAATAGATTCATTAGCGCTAATCTGCTTCATAAATACTCATAAATGCTCAATATTTTGAGATCGTTTAGCCGGTACGGCTGAAAGCAATCAATACATTCCTACATTTTGACAAATATGGAAAGCAGAACACAAAGTTGACCATTCAAATGCATAGATATGTTTGAAAACGAAAAGGCGTTCAGAAGGATCGTAGAGGAGCGCTAATGTTTTTAACTGGTCCCACTGCGGCTTTTTTCCTGCAAGCTGGGTGAGGCTGAGCTCTCGCCTCTGCAGTCCGTGTATGACAAGCAGGATTGGGGACTTTTGTCCTCGGTTTTCCCTGTGATTGGTTGAAGTATTGTTATCCAGAGAAAAATGGGTCAAACAGCATGCCGAGGACAGCATGTGTAAACAGGCAAACCGGAGAGAAAGTGGATCTGGGGTGGTTAGTGATGCTCTCTCCATCCAAACTGTTTAAAAACCTTTTCTGTACATCAGTGCTCAGTGAGCAGAATTCCCAACCCTCTCTAAAACCCTGCGTCTTTTCCTCTCTGACAGAGACGAGCGAGGCTTAGCCAGATAAATAAAAGGGATACTCTCCAAAGCAGAAGAAGAAAATCAATATCAGTGTGCATTAATCATGCTGCGGGTGCCAGAGAGAATTATGGGTACACGAAGCGAGAGATGCATGTGTGCTTTCGCATAGGAACGGTTCTCAAGGTTTACTGGTTTCTCAGGCATCAGATTAAAGTGATTGTAAGGAGTTTGGTATGATTTCTTGATTATTATGGATTATGTTAATGCTGATTGTTGAAATATTTATGAGCAGTGAACCGATGGTTGATTTTTTTTTTTGCTGTTTAAGAAATGGTTCTTCATGAAATGGTACTTCATAAACTGTTATGGTCAACGTGAATTCAAAATGGACCCTTTTAACTTTCTTAAAGGTTAAGTGTATAATTCCTAAACCACTAGCAGCATCAAATGAAATCGCAAAATGGAAGTTTTCTTGAA